ACCATATTTTAGTTCTTGGGGACCACTGGTGGTCCACGGATCACAGGTTGGGAATCACTGTTCTACAGAGAAGACCATCTCAGGGTGACAGCCACCCCTGAATGCGACTGCTCCCATTTTGACATCCAATCATTCAAAAAGGGAAGCCCTGGCACTCAAGTGTTGTAACTGGAGGTCCGCTGTTACCAACCATGCTACGGATTTTGAAGAGGCACAAATAGATGGTGAAAGGGAGAAAAGTGCCAAGGGGAAGGCGCACCAAACAAACCCTTGTTGTGACCATCTTCCACTTGGAAATCTATGTCTTCATTGTAAAAGACCATGCAGATCCAGAACAGGTCTCTACAGCCATTTACGCACCCATCGCCAAGAGTACTCTTGGAAAGTAATCATACTCAACCATGAGAGATCCTTTACAGACAGATAGATTGACACTCTACTCAGAGATGAAGATGGTTCTTTCATAAAATAAAATAAAAGGCAAAGTATTTGGTAATGCTCTTTTCAAAAAAAGGAACCATCCCCTTCTTTGATTGGCAAAGGAAAGAGCTTATTCCACTCCTAGGACAATCTAAATGAAACACCAAACCCCTCTACTATCTCTGCATTCCTCAGAGAAGAAGCAACAGAGAGCTTTCTATTAAATGCACGATAAAACACACTGAGCTCACCAACCCAGAGTAACTATACTAACCAAAGTAAAATTATTTGTATGTATCATAAAAATGTTTATTATGTCTTCTGTAACACTGTTTCTGGATGAGGAACAGGGACTCTACCTTGGAAACTCTTCTCTTTGAGATCAAGCCAATTGTCATAGCTTTAAAGCCATAAAATTTCATTCTTAAAAAAGTGATGAATTTCCAAGTAACTGGACCCGAATAAAAAAACACATACGTAGGTTTAGTCACATCTCTATCTAAGATGTGGATTAATTATACCCAGTGCTGTTCAACATCCATATTAATTATTTGGATGAGGGTTTAGAAGGCATGCTTATAAATTTTGCAGAAGACACCAAATTTGGGAGACATAGCTAATAATTCAGAAGACAGGATCAGAATTCAAAACAATATTAACAAATTAGGGAGTGGGGCCCAAAATGAGTTTTCTGGGCCAGACAACCCGGAAATCTCATAACAACCCAAAATGAATTTCAACAAGGAGAAATGTAAGACTAAACTTTAAAGGTTTCCCTGGACATCAAATCTAATCGATGGGGGTGATGCTCATCTCAATTTCTAAGCCGAAGGCCAGCACTGTCCACGGACACCTCCAAGGTCATGTGGTCAGTATGACTGCATGGAGCGACGCTACCTTCCAGCCAAAGTGGTACCTATTGATCTACTCACATTTGCATGTTTTTTAACTGCTTGGTTGGCAGCAGCTGGGGCTAACAGCGGGAGTTGACCCAGCTCCCTGGATTCAAATCGCCAAACTTTTGGTTACCAAGTTCAGCTGCTCAGTGATTTAACCAGTTGCACCACCAGGGGGGCCTAAACTTAGGCAGAAATAATTAAATGCACAGATACAGAATGGGTGACACCCAGGTCGATAACAGTCCATGAGAAAGAGATCTTGGAGTTTTAATAGACTACAAGTTTAACATGAGCCACAATGTGATGCAGCAGCAAAAATGGCCAATGGGATTTTGGGCTGAGTCTAGATCAAGTAACATGCCCTCTATTCTGCTTTGGTCAGACCTCAACTGGAATACTGTGTCCAATTCTGGGAACCACAATTTAAGAGGGATAGTGGAAACCTGGAGGGCGACTGAAATGATCAAAGGTCTGGAGACCATGAATCCCTGTAAGGAGTGGCTTAAGGAGCTAGGTATGTTGAGTTTGCAGAAGAGAAGGTTGAAACGAGACCTGAAAGCCATGTTTAAATACTTGAAAGGATGTCATAAAGAAGAGGGAGCAGGCTTGTTTTCTGCTGCCCAGGAAATTGGAGCAATGGGTTCAAATTACAGGAAAGGAGATTCAAATTGAACATTAGGAAGAACTTTATGATTGTAAGAGCTCTTCAACAGTGGAACTCTCTGCTATGGAATGAAGTGGATGCCTCTTCTTTGGAGGCTTTAAAACAGGCTTGATGTCCATCTGTCAGGGGTACTTTGATCGTGCTTTTTCTGCATGGCAGCAGGTAGGACTGGATGGCCCATGTGGTCTCTTCTAATTTTGTGATTCTACAATCCCATGAATTGTAGTCTATATCCCATTACTTCATATCTCTGCTTAAAACAAGAGGGTGAAGGGCAGCCTGTGGACAGTATAGATATAGAACCACAGAGCTACTGCCCCTTGGCGCCTTTGTATGAAAAACATATGTTCTGCCACTAAATAGCAGCCCTTCAGATATGGAGATGCTCAGAGGATGATTTTACAAATCAAAATACCAAGGACAAAAGGTGAAAATGGAAGGAAGCCTTTTAAAATTCTACACAAGTGAACAGTTTGGTCACAATTCATACCAACAGGATGGGAGTAAAAGCCTGTTCATTCGCTGCAGACTTTGGGCCCTTCATCAGTAATCAATCTATTCCCATGTGCCTTGAATATATTATGTGTGTCACATTAAATCATTAGCAAATTCTTCTTGAGTGCACTTTAGAGGACTGAACTGTAATCATATTCTAATGATTAATCTCACAAAGTGTGTTTCCATCTGTTCAGTCAAACCCATGGGGAAGTTCAATCTGACTTTTTCTTTAATAGCAACCTCTAAAAACAAAGGTTATTTCAGGTGCTTGGCCCCTCCACATTGTGCTCCGATGTTGGTTGTGCATGCCTTTCACAGTTTCAAATAGAAATATATGAACGTCAGCTTGTGTTTTGCAGAACACAAGTGAGCAATGGCTTCTGAGAGCCCGATAATGGAGAATATTGCTCAACTGTATTCGTGGTAAAAGGGCTTTACCCTCTTGAGCTAGCAGAACTGCCAGTTTTGAGCCTCCAGCAGCCATATCAGAGGTCAGGAACATAAACACCTAGTTATCAAAATCCCCATCCAATGAGGGTAAGTATAGAATGAGAAGGTTCATTACGGGATGGCATGAGGAGCAATCCAACATGATTAGGTTTCTCTTGGGTTTTTTTTTTTTTTGTGTCAGGAGCTACTTGAGAAACTGCAAGTCACTTCTGATGTGAGAGAATCGGATGTCTGCTAGGTCATTGCCTTGGGACGCCAGGATGTTTTACCATCCTTTTGGGAGGCTTCTCTCATGTCTCTGCATGGGAAGCTGGAGTTGACAGAGGGAGCTCATCTGCACTTTTCCCAGATTTGAACCTCCGACCTGTTGGTCATCAGTCCTGTCAGCACAAGGGTTTAACCCACTGCGCCACCTCTTGTGTCCACATTTCTCTTAATTTTTTCCATTGGGACCCCTCCGTCTTCACTAGTTACTTTCTCTAGAACTAAGCTAAGCAAAAAAGGGGTTGTGGTAGTGCAGTGGGTTAAACCGTTAAGCTGCAGAACTTGCTGATTGGAAGGTCAGCAGTTCGAATCCATGGAGAGCCTGAGTTCCTGTTGTTAGCTCCAGCTCCTGCCAACTTAGCAGTTTGCAAACATGTAAATGTGAGTACATCAATAGATAACAGCGCTCCATGCAGTCATGCTGTCCACATGACTTTGGAGGCGTCTACAGACAACACCGGCTCTTTGGCTTAGAAATGGACATGAGCAACACCCCCCAAAGTCAGACATGACTAGACTTAATGTCTAGGGGAAACCTTTACCTTTACTTAAACTTAGAAAAAAATACTAAATTAAGATATACACAAGAAGATGTAGTTGGAGCTTTTTTTGTGTATTCCTTGATTTAGTAGCGTGGATCGCTCTTTGTGTCATCTTAGAATGAACCTCCAATGGTGAATCAAATCTTGTTTTCTCTAGATATGGCATGAGAAACAATTCATTCAGATTAGAAGATACCCAAGCCTACAATCCTGTCATCCCAAGAATGGATTGCTAGACAAAGATCAATAAATGGTTAACAAACATGGATATGGGGCAGGAAAAATGATCCCAGACTTGTTCAATCTGGCCATTTGGTGATCACTGTAGCCCTACATCAGATGGATCTGTAACTTGGACAACCAGTGTAGTGTAGCAGTTAGTGTTGGACTGGCAGCTAGATTTAGTCACTAGTGATAAATGAAATTCATAAAATGATGCCATGATACCGAATGGGTGAGCATTTGTTGTCTCTCAGTCTGATAAAGGGTGGTTATGAGGATTGATATAGTGAAGACTATCATGTATACCACCACAAGCTCAGTGGATGCAACTGACAGGGATGTGTATTGGACTGTTAGTATTTGCTGTGGTTTGGTTCCAGGGCCCCACATGGATACCAAAATCTCTAGATGGTGAAGTGCCACTGCATACTATCCCCCCCCCCCCCCACACACACACCTATACACATAATAAAAGTGAAAAATGTATATGTGTGTATGTAGCAGAAGTGCCCACTTACACAGACAGGTTAGAACATGTAGCCCAAACGTTGCCAATGTCCTCCCCAAACACCATATTGACCACCACCCAAGGAATGCTTTAATTCAATGACAACGCCATCCCAGATCTGACATGTTCCCTCCACCACACGCAGGCATCACAGGGTTCCCTGTGTGAAATTTGCATGACCTCACCCACTGCCTCTCCTTAACCCTTTCTTATCCTGCCCTACAGCACACAACAAGCACAGAAGAATTGATCGTGGCAGGGTTTGGGGGTGATTGCCCTGGGAATCTGAGAACTGTACTTCACCCTTATCCAGAGAGCACTGAACCCAGCCAACAATGGATACGGACCATACTTGGCCAATCATAACTGATGTCATTGGGGTTTTGAAGTGTGGTAAAGATATATGACTACTAATCTCCTTGAAGGAATAAGGGAAAATAACCAAACAGCCATCCTGAACTCCAATTATGTCCCCACAGGATTGAAAGAATATTGGTTATGCTAAGAATACAAATAAAACTGATCACTGTATTAAAAAAAACACTTTATATCATAACTTTGAAAACCAATTGAATTTCTTAAAAAAATACAGCACAAATACTTTCCATTATTTTTAAAAAGATGCCTTGATGTAAAAGTAGAATTTGCTTCTTTATCTGTGTGATGGTGATAATTGACAAAATATGTCTTATTTAAAAAGCTCACAAAGGAGGCGTGTTCTCTCCAGTTGTTTTGAGTCTTTGTGGATGGAGGAAAGATAAACCAGTCTTAATGATCTGGGTGTTATTCCTCCAGCTGGAACTTAGCGAGGAGTGGGAGGTGATCAGAAGAGTTGTTTTTGTTGGGAAGTCCATTGACTGCCCACAGATCTTGCTCAGTGACCAAAGACAATCGACCAAGGAGGTTCAGACCGCCATCAAAAACACATCCAGCTCCTGGAAGAGAAAGAAAAGACTGAGGTGAGTGTGTGTGTACAACTTGCAGGTTATTGTGGACTGAATTATGCAGGCCAGGAATGTGCCGCTATAGCCCTCCAAGATGTTTGTTAGCCTCAAGTTTTCATCAACCCTCGCTTTTATTTATGTATTTTGATTATGTGCTTTAGCAATGTTGTAACCTGCCTGGAGTCGTGAGGGGAGGTGAGTAAGAAATATCACGGGGCTCTCTGTTACCCCTCAGCCACTGAAGCGGTTGAGGGAGGGGGGGGGGGCCGAATGAGACCTCGTCGTCCTTCCTCCCTCGCCTAGTCTGAATGCATCACTCTCATTCCTATTTTATGTCCTTTCTGGTCGTCGCTCACTCGGATATAAGCTTTCCGAACCCGGCCGCCGCCGCTTCCCTGTGATGTCCTATTGGTTGAGTCCATTCTCTCCACTCTGTACTCTCCTCTTGACGGATGGCCGCCTCGCGCGCTCCTATTCTCCCGCGCTCTCTGGAAGAGGCCGACGGCAGCCACTGAGGCGAACGACCCCGCAGCCGCCTGGCGGGCCTGCTCTGCCCGTCGGCGCGCTGGAGGCCCGCCGACTCTGCGCTTTTTGCGCTCTTCGCGGCCCGGGGCACCAGCGCGGCGAAACTCCAACCGCACGCTACAGTAGCGGGCCTGGGCGGCGCGCAGCCGGCGCGCGCGCCGGCGCGGCCGCGACCGCCCCGAGACGCCG